TGTCATTTAAATAATAATATAAAATATTTTAACCTAATAGAAACTTAAATCTATTTTTATAATAGAAAATTTCCTGAAACTGTCATTACTACAATCATTATAATTTTTCTTTGTTCCGTGTGAGTTGACTTATCATTTATTTCATTCGCAATTTTAACTGAAATCGTTATAAAGTAGAAGTATATTTTAAACATTACGTAACTATTGCTTACATATACGAAAAGATATATTGCACCTATATATATATAAATACAGTATATACTTTAAATAGCACTTGCTATAGCCCACCTCTTCCAAGTTAAATTATATTCATTAAATTTTAAATTGCTATCAATCTTTTTAATAAATTGTTTATTGAAATGTGGATAAGGATGAGATCTATTTTAAATTAATAAAAATACAATAGAAAACCTTTGAGTTAATCGAGGTTTACATGTTTATAATTCTGAAGTTGAATCATCTATCATGCTTTAAATAGCTCATTTATATAATCTTAGGTTTTAAAAATCTAAGCACAAAATAAAAATGATTTATTAAGAATTTTATATATTAAAGATTTATAAAATCTTACATAATCATGATTAATTTACAGTATATTTATATCTAATATTCTACCAAAAAAAAAGTCATATAATAGTAGATGTCAGAGCTTAATTGATGTGTTAATTCTACATGACAGCACATTAATGAATAATTGAACTACAAATATATTAATATTTCGTATTTTTTTCGATAATTATATAAAAAGTACATGTTATAATATATATATATAGGCCTATATATATATATTGTTATATTTTATCAGACTATTTTTTATGAGATTAAATAAAATTTATAGAATGATTCTAAATTTTTATAACTATTGCAAAGATAACTTTTTATGATATTTAGCTATTTCTACGATGTATCAGCAACTTTTAATTATTTCGATCTCAGATCTTATCTTTTAAATTCGATTGTCTAAAACTTTTAGGAGAAATTAGATTGAAAAGAAAATGAAGAGAGAGAGATTTTCTGGAAGAGGTCATTCTTTCACTTTCCAATTTACTTCAAATTTTAAAGTTTTACCAAAATTCGCTTCGATTTCCACCACGAAAGAAATTGTCATACCTTCTCTTCGATAAAGCTTATCTTTTGGATATTTCTGTATCAGTAATTATTAATAAATACATGATTCTAACTCGAATGAAAAATATGATTCTAGCTCAACTCCAAAGTTACTATATAGAATTTTTGCTAACTGTCTTATTTTACTTCTTAGCTATTATTTAATTTATCTACTTCGGATTACATAAAACAAATTGTAAGTTACAAGAAATTTCATCACAGTTCAGGGTTCATACTCTCTTTAAACGAATGCGAACTGTCAAGATTCATGTTTTGCCCATTTTTCCATTTCGAAAGGCTAAAATGTTCTTTAAGGGGATTGCCCTTTACAAATGTTAGGATTTTTACGGTTATTGTTGAAGTAATTTATATTTTCTCTTAAATGATATAGCTTATGTTTGATTAAAGTAATGTTGACAGTACTCATTTAAGTGAACAATGATCTTTGAAGCTCTTTTCTCAGGTAATCCTCCGTTATTGCGATTAATAACATCCTCCAATATCAATGTTTTAATTTCGTATTTGTCATATATGTACTTCAGTAACAAGTGAAGAAAAATTGGTAGATTTTCATCGTTCAAAAATGATAAACATTATGTCATTACCCAATCTTCCATCAATATCAAACGGTATCATCCAGTTGATTCGATGAAATCGATTTTTTAAATGGAACTTAAGAACGATAAATATTACTGAAGTCTTCTACTACTTATAAAAATTGAAATAAGATATTGCTAATTTCTAGGCTATAACTTTAATACTTAATTCTGACCCAAAATTTGTTGAATGAATGAACAAATTTATCTTCTTCGAATCAAATTTACACCATAGAATTTTAATGTGCTTATTTAAATGATCAAGTTTTTTTTTTTTTTAATCTTTATAAATTAAGCTATTATGTTAAGTTAAGATACGATCTAATGCTACTCGAGATGATCTATCTTTTCTTTATTTTTTTTCTAATACAGAGATAATTTTTGAATGACACCATTGGATATGGATAATAAATTATCATCTGAGACAAAGAGTACATGTCATTTGGATTCTACATGTCATGTATTCTTTGTAATTCTGATTAGCAATTCTTTCTTTCTTCACAACACAAAAGAAGAGATCAATCACAGTTTGATTATGAAGCATAGCACAAAAACTCAATCATGCTTGATGATGTTTGTTTATTTATAATTAAACAATTTACTATACTTATAAAGAATTTTCATCAGATACTGTTGACAGATTTAAATCTTTACAACTTATTTTTGTAAACTGTCCTAATTATATGTTAAATAAATTATTATTTTCTTTACATCGCATGCTTTCCAATAAACGTTTCCATATTTACTGTCTTATAAAAAACTACTGTATATCCAAATTCAACAAAGTACAAATACAGTATCTTTTGATTATAAATTGCTCTAATTAAGTAATTTGATAAACGAATTCATTCATTTATACACTGTTATTTGAATTTTTTCAAGAAATATATGTATGATATATAACTGATATTATTTAAACTTATGCTTAATGCGTTCCAAAGTAGTTTATTGAGGTGCGATATAACGAATATATTACCTATATTATTTGTTAATATTTCAACTTATATGCAAGGCTATAGTGGAGAATTTACACTATCGTATAAGAATAGTATTGATATATTCTCTATTTATACGACTTTGTAGTCGACCCTCTGCTGAATTTACGACTACATCAGTGCTTATAAGTCAAATTTTTAGCATTCGAAATAATTTATTTTACTTCAATTAACTATGAAAAACAATCTATTAAGAAATAATAATAAATATACAATTTTATTTAAATTTATATATTCTAAATCTTGCATTAATATAAAAAATTTCCAGATTTCTTTCTGTTGTTATATTAACAAATCTAATTAATTTCTTATAATTAAAACCAAGCAAATTTTTGAAAATGGCACTTCTGTTCTATTTATAAGTTGTCTTAATATATATATAAAAGTTTAAAATACATTTCTTTGCAACTGAATAACGTTATGAAATATTTTATAATGATATTCATTTAAAGATTTTCACTTTAGAAAAATCCATGATGGAATACTTCCTTGGGCTTTATATAGATGAGAATGACTATTGATGTCGATAAGCTCCAATTAATTCAATCGATCCGAAAACTCCTACCTCGTATCTTATCTAAATCTCAGCCTTCATCCCTGAAAATATTCATCGTATTCTCTCTCCCGCTTAAAGATTTCACACAGAGCGTCCAGAATTTTAATTAAATAAATAAAAAAAATAAATAAATAAATATGAAGAATAATATTTAATTTAACTCGGAGATAATTAAAATTAGTTGAAAAAATAAATATATAAGCTAGTTCTCTCAAGCAGATAATTGGATGACACATTTAAAGGATATACTGACTCACTAGTAGTTAGTCTGCCCTGTCTTATTGGCTAATGGAAGAAGTGATGTAGATGCCTGGACATCACCAGACACAAGCCAATAGACGTTATGGCGACAAACTTTGTCTTTTCCTCCCGACATTAATTGTAATTAGTGTCACCCGCACCTGCATGGCTTTCTTGCATGGAGAGTGTGCCCCGAGGTGAAGTCGACTTTAAGGAACAAATCGAAATGCGAATTTTATGTGCTTACCTTAATGCAAGGGGAAAAGTAAATAATTATCTAGCTTCGTTATTGCTCATTACGAGTTAGACATTAAAATCTATTATATTACTTAACGTAATAGATTTTTGACTTTAAGAAAATTGAGAGATTTTTGAAAGAATTTTCTGAGTTTTTTCCGGTTTTAAATTTTGAAATTTAGGAAAAGAGAAGCAAAATGTGACTGGTTTCTTTAATGGTGAAGAGAAAATCGAATTTTAATGTTAAAGGTAAAGCGAGGAACATTTTCTTAAAAGGAAGCTTCAATTTTTTTTTTTTTTTTTTGGTACTGAAGGTGAAAAGATATCAGAATTTCTTTTTTTAAGTGTATTTTACAGAGTTTTAAATTTCTTGCCATTTTAAAAAGAAAATATGAAGCTTCCTTTTATATTCTAAAACAGAATTTTAAGATTGAAATTCCTTTATACGATAATATGAAGCTTTAAAATTCTTTCATAGTTATGAACGTTTGAAATTTCTTATAAACAGGGAAAAAAAGTGTTATAAGTTTAGTCATAAATACGAGAATAAAACTTTTATAAAACTTGCATGGAGTTATGTGTTTTACTAAATACATAATCCGCCCCCCCTCCGATGACATCAGTGTTGAAACGCTAACTGTATTAATATTGCTGTATTAATCTTGGATGGTCATTTATCAAAATGGCTTCTAATGACAGAAATGAATAATAATTTAATTTTATTTATCCAGAAGGGTAATGGTTTAAATAAGTTTTCAATCAACATGATTACCCTTTAGGCGTTAAGGGCCTCACAATGTCTCACATTAAGGATGCTAAGTGGTAAGTTTGAGCCCTGTCGTACGTAGCTGTGTTTGATTAATGAACTTCATAAATTTTTCATGTAGCGTCACAGAATTAAAGATGCTGCCTAATGAAATAAACCAACTGGAGTGACAGTCCACACCGGAGTAATTCGTTATTGGATCATTCCTACTAAATTGTCCTCTTCTCTTCCTTCTTAAATATTCTCAATCGTTAAAGTTAATGACACGCACAGGATATGAAGTAAAAATAAAAAAAAATGTTTAAGGATTTGTGAAAAATCTTATTTTTACTCGTGTTCTTCTTGCTTTACCGATCGTCATTTATCATTTATTTTTTTAACCTCATTCTTTTGTTTGTTTAAATGGTAATTACTTTCAAGACAAACTCGAAACTTTTCAAACATTGCTCGATGCTAAACATGTTTACATTTTTTAAATTTTTTTTTAAAAAAATTCTACTTACCACTGCTGGGAGCTGGCCAGGCAACACGGTTTGCAACGGCAACTGTTGCATCAGAGCATTCTTCAGGGCCAGATGGGTTCTACCATTGGCCAGTAACTGGTCCTTCAAGTGTTGAGGCGGGTGGAAGTATTTACAAGGTGGTTTCTCCCTATTGCAACGACCCTAAAAGAGAAGAGAGAGAGAGAGAAAAAGAAAGAAAGATAAATCAATTTAAATAATTTTTTTAAAATAGTTTTATATTTTAAAATTTGCCGCGTGTTTTTAAATTCCTATAGTGTTAACTTTCAGGAAAAAAATTCGATATTTTAAAGGGAAGATTATGCAATTATACTATTTAAAACATTTCGCTGCATCCAGAAGAGTGAAAAAAAAAGAAAAGAAAATCTTTGTTAGATCTCTTCTCAGAAAGTTTATCAATATAAGAAAAAAAAAAGGAAGAATCTTTTGCACCAATTAACCAAACTTCGTCAAAGAATAAATTTAGCTCATGGAGCAGAAATCTGAAAGTGTGTATAAAAGGAACCGATCCATCTTCCTTCCATCTCGTCACGTGATCACTTCTCAGAAATTCGATTCCACTCATTATTCTCTCCTTAATAGTTAATTTATTCCAATCCAACCGCGTAATATATTTAATTTTTCTTTTTCTTCAGTCTTCTTACTTCACGAATAACTCTATCATTATTCGCTGTTGTAATTAACTTCAAGTTGCCAGAGAAAACAAGATTGATCACTCAACGCAGCCCCTTGCGGTGAAAAGCTATGAAAAAGAACACCCCTATTGTGAAGAGAAGGACGATAAATCAAGGAGAAAACGATAGATTTTTAAACGTTTTCAAAACCCTTCCACTCACTATACGATCGCATTACTCTTTACTCCACGAAAAAACAAAATATAATAATAATAATATCTCTTTTTCTTTCTCGGGGGAGAAGATGCATTAAACTAAAACATCAAGTGGGTTCACGTGATCGAACGTGTTGCTGCGGCAACACTGACGTCATCTACATGGGTCAGGTGATCGACAACGTTTTCCTGCACTTACTCTCGAATGAACGTAATCTGATTTTGTACCGATTTTCCAGATTTACTATTTTATTTTAGTCTCAACTTTCACTTCTCTTTAAAGATGAAACGGTAATTTCTTCTTTTGTTTATAGTTTTTTGGACAGATTACAATTTGAAACTTTATATTGTAGCAAGTTAATTATTTCCTCCCTCGTAAAATTTTACGGTAAGAACAGTTAGTTAATACAATGTAAAAAACAAAAGTTACACAAATAGTTCTGCTTGGGTTTCTGTAAGATTCTTCTAAAATATAATTTTTTTTAAAAAAATACATTGGTGTAATGGTTATGTAGGCACGTTTAAATTTCGAACTAAATCTGAATTGTAGCCGTGGAGTTAATTAAATAAACGTACAGACATACACCAGGACGTTGCAGATAATCAAATGTTTTTTTTTTTTTTTTCATTTCTTTTTTTTTACAAATTGAAATGTTTATGTTAAGAATGCAAATTAGGCTGTTGGGCGGTTCGATTCTTTTCTTTTCAAAGAGTAAAAGTAATTGAATAATTAAGAAGTAAAGGGGGGAGGAAGAGGAAGAAATCTTATCAAAAAAAGAAACATAAGTTGACTAATTCTGTTTAAAAATATTCACAGGAGACATGGAAATTTCCATTATCTTACATACCGACAATGAAAGTCCCCAGAGGACAAAGTGTGCAATCAGCTATCTTCAGAAAAAAAAAGGAAAAAGTCATTTTCTCAATTTACGGTGATGACTTTCAGATCCGTATATTTTGGTCAGAGCGAGTAAAGTAGCACTTTACATTCAAGCCAGTCACCCTTACATTCTCCGAGCCAGACCTTCTATTGATTTTAGAGAAGTCTTTCTCCCCTAGGGGTTGCAGAGGAACTAGCTGATGTGGCGAAAACTCTTTTCCTTTGCCGATGATTCAAACTTACTTCCGGAGGAATAGAATGATGGCAAAATTATTTTGTTAATTGCAAGAAAATCCCTAGGCCAAGCGAACACAATCTTCTTTGGCAATTTTTCCTCTAGCGGAAATATCAAATTGCTTTAGCTTCTTTATTCGGGCGAGAATGACTGGGATGTTGGCTCTTTCTTTCTAGGATGCTTAAGCATTGCTTTGCCATCCCCAGAGTCTACAATGGAGCTAGGACCACTTTAAGAAGATAGTTTCCGGGCTTAGGAATGGATTTTCACCGAAAATATATTTAAAAAACGCTTCTTTTTAAACCTTATTTAAAGCTTCTCGTTTTTTTTAGGATTCTCTTAATAGGTTCCGTAAAAAAAAGGAAAACCAAAAAAAAAAAAAAAAGGCAACTTAGCGAATAAGGTCGGGAACCGACACGTCTTTTAATATCCTCGAGGGGAAAACAACACTTGTTATTTAGTAAATTTAACTTCTCCCTTCTTCCGTGCGAAAGTTTCTTTTTGCTTCATTTTTTTTTTCTTATTCTTCTTTGGTTCTTTCGCAGAGTAGAACAGACGTCATTTCCTGTTGACAAACGAACAAGACATGGAAGAACAGATGTCGCAAAAGTCGTAAACGCTCTAACATCTGGATAAATCGCGGAAGTTCAAAGTTTTGTATCGCTCATAGACACGAAAGAGGAAAAGTATTACAAATTATACTCGGGTCAACAAAAATATGGCTTGATCAGCAAATCGATATAAAAATTGCGAGATGTCCAATTAAGTAAAAGCGAAAGAAGAAAATCGATTATCACGATTTTAATCAAGACATTTGACTTTAAAATTTCTATTTGGAGAAGTATTTTACCATGGTTTTTCTTTAATAAAAATAGTTTGTCATTCTTAGTGATAATTAAATAAATATTTTGTAAATGTTTATTATTTTATAAAACATGGAAAAGTTTTCGTCTCAGAGAATAATAATATTTTTTAATATAAATTAATGCAATTAAATTGATTATCCATCTTACTAGCATAAAGCATTACAAAATTTTACAGTCTATATATTTATTAAATATATTTAATAAATGAAAATTTATAAATTTATTGAATCAATGGAGAATAAAATAACAGAGGTACATTTAATAAAACAGTACATTTTATATAATAAATGTTTAATATATAACATTAAATCTACACAAACGAATTAATTCGATTAAACAAAATAACTACCCGCTTTTAATTAATTAGATTTTTCTCAAAAATACAATTCTTCTAAATTAAAAAGAAATCTTTTAATCAACTTTAATACATTGAATTTAGTTAAAAATTAGGCGGTCAAATGCGACTATTATCATCCAAAACACGGCATTTATGGTATAAGAATTGCAAAGTTTCGTGTGAATGCAATATGCTTGAAAGTGCAGTAGTAAAAGGTGGAGCCCGGAAGCAATTTGACTTCCCAAAATTGTTTAATAATGAAGCACTGGCTGAAATTAATATGCTGAAGTAAATTTTTGGTATTTAAACGTTCACTATTTGTCGTAATTTCCTTCAATCTTTCTCTTTCTAGAATTAATTTTTATTTATTTTTGAAATGTTCTTTTTTTTTTTAAAAAGTTCTTTACAAATTAATTTAAATGAAGTAGGAGGTTGGTAAGATAAGAGAGCAGCTTTCAAAATTCCATTAAAAATTCAAAATGAACTCCTGCGTATTATTATTCAGCGATGAGAAGCATTTAAAAAATTCAAAACCCGATAATAATAAGCTTTTGTTTCAAACCTTTGCATATTCGATCAAAGTGCGGCTTCTTAATTTTTTTTTTTCCTATCTCCTTCCTCTTTATCTTCTTAAATATACAAAGATTTAAATATTTCTATTTAGGAAAATAAAAAATTTTCAGCAGAAGAAAAATTTTTGAAAGGTTGAAAAATGATAAATCGTGCATATATGGAAAATAATAGAGGACCAATTTGTAAAAAAAAAAAGAAGTTAAAGCCATACTTAAGAAGGGATAGCGAGCGAAAGAACCATTTAAAATGGAGATTATCTGGCCGAAAAAAAAGGCATGAAAATATATAAAATGATAGATTTGTCTGTGTGGAAATGCTCACATAAAGGGTCTTGTATACCTTCAATTAAACCATTGTAGTAAATTTAGATAAGACCTTTAGAAAACTGAGTAATAAGATGAAAGTGTAAGTAGGTCTTGCAGCATTTCTAAAGTAAACTAAGACGGCTTTCCATCGCAATTTTCGGAGTTAGTTTTTGGTCATATCGCTAAATCGCTTTAAAAAATACTTACAGATAAATAACGTTAAGGGGAGAAGCGCAGTTATTCTGTCGCCAGAGATCACGAAACGTGACGTCGGTATTAAATCGTCGAATTTTCATCTCCTTTGAGGCAATCCGTCTCTATCTACGGTCAGGTGGAAGGAGAATTTACTTATTTATCGACGGTGGGGGACGAAAAAGAAGTTTATAACCGCCATAAAAAAGAAGCAGCGAATCAACTTATACTGTGTCTACACATCCACAACATGCAGTAGATATAACTTAGGAAATTTTAAAACTTTGCCAAAACTTTTTTTCTTTTATTTTTCTTTTTTTCCTGCTCGCTTTTCTTTCTCTAACGTCATCGATGATGATAATTTATAGCTGATGTAGTAACAACCTTTTTCACTGGCGAGAAGACACCGCCAAGCTATAATTCAAAGCATTATCATCTCTCTTTGTTGCTTTTCTAATATTCCGATTCCTCTTGTATTTCCGCATACACAAGGAAATGGTTTCTGTAATGAGATTTATACTCCATTCTCTATATTTTTACGAATTTTACCAAGAATTCTGCAATCGGATTCGTGACCTCCTTCCATACAGAAGTTAGTAATTCCTCCTCTAGATGGCGGTACCGCTAGCGTAGTACCGGCGTGTCCCCCCGATAAGTTACATCACGGCTAATCAACCCGTGGATTGTCTACCCGAAAATGAACAGTTGGAATTAAGTCAGTTATCGGGAAGTGGCCTTCTCCGTCAGGAATGTAGACAATCGCAACCCGGAACGCCTATCAGGTAGACATACAGGTGGAGTTGACACCATCGGCTAATATCGAGTGAAGCCATGCAGTCTCACCCGCCCGTCTAGCCCCAGGCGCCGTCTGGACGTTCCCGGTGCCGTCGTCATGGCGACCGTCACGTGCTTGACCACGCTGTCGCC